TGCTCCATCTTAAAGCTATTCTTGGCTAGACTTACTTTGACACTAAGTTTATCCTTAGTGAAGTCCATAATCATCAGTCTGTGATCGGGATGTCTGTCACATTTTGGGTTCTCAAAAGTTTGGCCCAGTCTCAGGATCTTTCATATCAATTAGCAGTTTTTTCATTATGACAACTTTGACCTATTTTAATGTTCAATTACTTGAAGGAATTCCCCAGTGGTCGTGGGTACATCTAACATTACTCAAGAGACCATAAGGCACTTGAGATCAAACCCAAGGTCCTTAAGCTCTCTGGCCAGCATTGTTTTTATTGTGCTAGAGACTGAACTGAGGGACAGGTGCATATGAGACAGGTGCTCTACTACAGTCCCACATCTCTGCCTCGTGCTATTATAAAATGGCACAAGGTACTAATGGTACTAATGTTTTCTCTTTTCTTGCAGCAGGTGGGGTGCAGGGTAATGGGGGCAGGGAGACCACAACCAATGGTGCTCAGGGGCTACTGGCTTTGTGCAGGGGGGATGGAACCCAGGTCTACCACATGCAAAGCACGCACTCGGCCTTTGAGCTATCACTCTGGACCCTACACTACTGTGTCTCGTATCATTTTCTCCTTATCACTTCACAGAGTTTCCTTCTCAACCTGTGTGTGTCGGTATCTTCTCCTCTTTATAAGGACATATGTCATGTTGGGCTAGTGCCTACTCTAAATATCCTACCTAAAATTATCTCTTTAAAGACCATCTCCAGGGGCTGGAGCAATAGCACAGCTTGCAAACGGCTGACCCGGGTTTGATTCCCAGCATCCCGTATGGTCCCCTGAGAACCACCAGGGTTAATTTCTGAGTGCTGAACCAGGAGTAAGCTGTGTGCATCGCCAGATGTGACCCAAAAAGCAAAAAAAAAAAAAAAAAAAAAGACTATCTTCAAATGCAGTCATGGGTGTTTCTAGCGATGGAGTCAGGGAGGCCCCAGAGATAAGGAAGGATGTGGGTGAGCTCCTGATCAGCTGAACAATTAATCTGCTCATCCCATAAAGTGGTACTTAGGTCTACAGGATCTGGTTCTGCCTGGGATTTAACCCCTGCCACCCAAAGTCTCAGGAGAACCCAGAAACAATGGTAACTGGGAGATTGAACTCTTTCATGTTCAGAAGAAATATGAGTGACCTTAACTTGATGTTACCTGTTTAACTCCTGTAGAGTTAAAAAACAAAGAAAATGAAGATATAGGTACGTTGTACAAATTCTTTCAATGGCCGGGAATAAGACTCTGCCAGCCCCCTGGGGTCAGTCATCAGACTGAATTCCATTTGATCTGATTGGCCTGGAAGGGAGTCCCTGGCACCCAATGTCCAATATTCTGGAGCTATGAATCTCAGGCAAGGGCTAGTTCTTACTCTCTGTGGCTGTAAGAAAAATATATATAGGCATTGTGTTTGAGCAGTGAAATTAGTGGGGGGGTGGGAATATGAAAGCTTCATGGGGCTTATAAGAACTACATGGTTGGCCTGGAGAGATACCTAAATGGGCTAGTGCATTTTCTTTGTACACAGGATCCCTGGGTTCAGGTCCCCTGAACACTCCAAGTGGGACATCTGAGCACTAGATTGGGAGTAGGCTCCAAATAGCTGTGTTCCCCAAAAGAGCAACATGCTTACTTATACATCATATATATACTTTTTAACATCTGATTATGCAGCTAGGGTGTGTGAATTATGCATTACTTAGCAAAAATTGAAAATTGGGTAAAATTTCTATTCTCTGCATATGCTTGAATCCCTATCACTACATTATCACCCCGTTGTTCATCGATTTGCTCGAGCAGGTGCCAGTAACGTCTCCATTTGTCCCTGTCACGTGCTAGTGTAGCCCGAAGGCATATTGGGGGCTCTCTCTCTCAGGGTCAGGGGAATAAGGACCATCATTGTTACTGTTTTTGGCATATCTAGTATGCCACGGGTAGCTTGCCAGGCTCTGCCGTACGGGCGGGATACTCTTGGTAGCTTGCTGGGTTCTCCAAGAAGGATGGGGGCTTTTGGGGCAGCCTCTAATCACCGTGAGGCATATATGCAGGCATGATACTCTCAGTAGCCTGGCGGGTTCTCTGATAGTGAGAACTAGAGAATAAGAGGTTGCATGGCTGCAAATGCGGCTGCCCGCTTCCGGGAGCTTGGTTTTATAGTCTCTGGATCCTGGCCATTGATGGGGTTACATGGCAGTTGGCAGGTGTAACTGTCTAGCTACTGGAAGATGGGGGATCTGGGTTGAGGAGGCCCAGTCCCAAACTGAGCAGACTTGGAGATCTCAGCCCCGGGTCCCACACACCTGGGTTTCTTTGCCGGTTCCTTCGTGTGTGAGGCTTGTCTGAGAATGTGGAGAGTGGTCTCAGCATGGCTGTGGCTGGGTCCCGGAGGTCTTTAGCGCTTGAATAAGTGTCTAAAACTGTTTTTCAAGAGATCTCATTTTTGGGGGAGAGAGAGTGTCATACCTGATGGTGTTCTGGGTTTACTTCTGGCTCTGTGTGCAGGGATAACTCCTGGCAGTGCTTCCAGGCCATATAGTGTGCTGGGGATTGGACCTGCATTGGCTGCATACAAGACAAACACCTTATCTGCTATATTCTCTTTCCTGCCTCTCAGAGGCCCCTCTTTATCAGAAAGTTGGTAACTGCAAGATTGCTGGGCTCTGAGTCTCAAAGCCTTTATTCAGTCACATGAGCTACTCCTTCTTATGCGTCCCACATGCCTTCTGTACATCAGAAGGACTGAATGAGGATTAGAAATTCAGGATATAAATTTGGGGGGAATACAAGTCAATCCATAACTTCTGGGTACTAATCATGCTCACATGGGTTACTTTACTGCAATTATTATTGCTATTTTTATTGTTAAACATTAATAGGTTAAACTCAGCCAGAGTTTAGCCACTTCCCTAAGGTCATGCTGGAGGCATACTTTTCTAGCAATCATTAAAGTTGAGCCTTGAACCCAGAAAAACGTGAAGAGTTGGAGCTGGCCAACAAATGTCAAGGGGCACAATCCAGATAGGACAGAGTATAAATAAAGGCTCTGGAGGGGTTAGACTGATAGTACAGTGGGGAGGGGGTTTGCTTTACAAGTGGCCCACACAGGTTTGATCCCAGTCTCTCCATGTGGTTCCCTGAGCTTGTTAGGAGTAATTCCTGAGTGCAGAACAAGGAATAAGCCCTGAGCACCACCGGGAATGGCCCATAGCCCATGATCCCCCAAACACTACCAGGAGTGATCACAATCACTGAGCACCTCCAGGTGCCCAAACCCCTGCACCGCTCCATCAAATTAAGTTTGCAAAGTATACACTAAGTTTGCCAGTTTACAGCGTTTTATTACTGCACTCTAGCTTGATGGGCATTTCCATCACAGGAAAGTTTCCTATTGTGTGGATGCCTTCATTCACACCTGGAGAACAGCAAGTCCCAACTGGGTGTGATTAAATTATTTTATTATTTTTGGCTTTTTGGGTCACACCCAGCAATGCTCAGGGGTTACTCCTGGCTCTGCACTCAGGAATCACTCCTGGCGGTGCTCAGGGGACCATATGGGATGTCAGAGATCCAACCTGGGTTGACCACGTGCATAGCAAACGCCCTACCGGCTGTCCTATCACTCCGGCCCCTTAAGTTATTTTAGTGAGCACAAACAGACCTTGCAGATTACCTTTCAGGCTGTTTGGGCCATGCCCAGTGAACTCAAGGTGGCACTTCCAGTCTGGGTGCTCTAGGGACATTCTGGGGACAGAAATCTGACCTCCTGATGCAAAGCAAGTGTCAGCTCCTTGCACTATCTCCCTAACTCCCAGATAACCCTTGAAAGCAAGAATTGGACATCCAATGAATACGAATATGGGCTATATGTTTTTTATGAGTCAAGTAATGTCCAGCTGGGTCTCTACTTTGTTTGTGCACCACTCCCAGCGCGGTGCACAGGGCTTACTCCTGGTTCTGTGAGCAGGGGTCACTCCTTTCGGGCTCGAAGGACCATATGGGTTCCCGGGGATGAAACCCGGGTCGGCCGCGTGAAAAGCAAGCGCACAATTCGCTGTACCGACCCGTGACCGTGTCTCTTTTACAAAGACTCCATTATTCATACACGGAGAAGTCTGAGCTAGGTGGAGCTAATTAACCAAATAGCTGTTTCAATTTATTTATTATTTAGTTTTGCTTTTCAGGTCACACCCAGCAATGCACAGGGGTTACACCTGGCTCATGCACTCAGGAATCATTCCTGGCAGTGCTCGGGGCGACCATATGGGATGCTAGGAATTGAACCCGGGTCGACCGCGTGCAAGGCAAACGCCCTACCCACTGTGCTATCACTCCAACCCCAGTAGCTGTTTTTTTTTTTAATTATTAAAAAAAAATAGCCTGGGCGGCTATACAGGGAATGTGAGCATCCGTGTGAGCACACTGGAGCCAGGGCGAGTTGGAGCAAAAGCGTCGCTAAAATGCGCTGGGCGCCTGCGCAGCTTCCCAAACGCTTTAAGAAACCAGTAACTGAAACTCCCTGGCGCGAGATCCGTCAGTTCTGCAGCTGCGGCGACGTCATCGAGACCTCGTGCGTCCACTGAGTGACGCCCAGCCAAGTCAGGCCGGACGGGTTCAGCCCTCCAGCCGGGGCTGCTCGCTCCTCCTAGACGCAACCTCACCGCAAGCAGCAACCGAAAGCTGGAGGCAGCGCGCGGCAGCAGCGCCAGGAAGCGGCTCCGTCCCTTAGCCACGCCCCGCGCTTTGGCAGTTCGCGTCCCCATTGGTCCATGCCCGGCCTCCAGCCCCGCCCTCCTGCGGGGCGGCCGCCAGCCGCCACGTCTGACGTTCCTACGTGTCTCCGGGTTGGGAGGTAGGGGGAGAGGAGGGGTAAAAAAAAAAAACCTAAAGCGGAAGTGACGCTAGGGATTGGCAGGTGAGCGGGCGGCCCCGAGCGCCTACTGAGGGCCGGCTCGGGGAAAAGGAGGCGGGCGGACGGCATCGGCCGGCGCCGGAAGTGGTCGTGGTGGGGAGGGGGGGAGAGCCGAGCGCTCGGCCGGGCGCTTCAGTTGGCTGGAGTCGGGCGCCGCGCTAAGGCGCTGCTGCGCTCCCCGGCGAGAGAGAGAGCGAGACAGAGAGAGGAGAGAGAGCGAGAGAGCGAGCGAGAGCGAACCCGGCCCCGGGTCTCCCAGCCGCTCGGCCGCCATGGACTTCAGGGAGATTCTCCTGATCGCTTCCAAGGGGCAGGGGGTCAACAACGTGCCGGTAAGGTGCCAGCTGCGACGCCGCGGGCGTCCGGAGTGGGGGTGGGGGGGTGACGGGCGACCCTGACCCCCGAAGTTGAGAGGCGGCTGCCGCCAGCGAACTCCCCGAGACTCCCGGGACACCCCCTGCGCCCCGCCTTGTTTCTCCAGGGGTGCCTAGTTGGGTTGTGGGTGTGGGGTGGGGGTGGCGGTCGGGGGGAGGCGGGCTTGCAGCACGTAGGGGGTCGGAGTTCTCCAGGGAAGGGGCTGCGCCCCCCCCCCCCCGCCGCCACGGCCGCTTTCTCTTTTGGGGGGAGGGGCTCCGAGTGTCTCCAAAGTTGTGCGAAGAGCCGGTGCGTGGCAAGGGAACCGTGGGGGGTTGGGGGGGAAACGGAGCACCGAGGAGTCTTCTTCTGGCGGCGGCCAGAAACTTCATCCCGCAGCAGACTCGGGAGGGGGCTTGCACGCAGCGGGAGGGGGAGTGTCAGGGATGGGGCGGGGGGGGGGACCCGCTGTGAAAGTCATTTTGTTGTTGTTGTGTTGTTGTTGTTGTTTGTTGTTAGGGGAGAGGGGGAGCAGATTTCCGGCCCGGGAGTGGGTCACTTTTAGCAGTTTTTTTTTTCCTTCCCTCTTTTCGCTTTGCCTTGCGGCCCCACCCACACCCACCCACCGAACGAGGAGAGTGACATCCTTGAGTGGACCAGCACCGTCTTTAGATTATTACTATTATTATTATTATTATTATTGGGAAGAGTTGAAGGACGATGCCACGGAGCCTTGGGCCAGCCCAAGAGGGTCAGCTCGTTCGTTTCCATTTAACTGTGTGGCCTTTGCAGATTTGCCTTTGTTTGAAATCTGCGTCCCATTTGGACTGTTGGCACGGCGCTCTAGAAGGATTTTTACAACCTCAGTGCCGACGGGTTTTGCGGGGGGAGGGGGGAGGCCGGGGGTGGTGGTGGTGGTGGTGGCTGTTTTGCATGAACCATTCATTTCAGGATCCTCAGATGGTGCCCACAGCACAGCTGTAAACGGATCGATTGGATTGTGATAACCTGCGGTTTGAGCGCTGAGGTGTAGAAACTCACAACAGCTCTTGTTAAAAGTCAGTTAACTGGAAAGTGTTGGACTGCCCCGTGTTCTGCAGTTTTTAGATTTGTGTATCTTTGCAGTGTTGTTTTCCTTTCCTCTCTCTCCTCTGTTTTTTTTTTGTTTTGAGGGGCTCATCTTTTTCTTTCTTTTTTTTTTTTACCTTTTTTTGAATATCCTGATCTGAAGGTAGTAAAGTAGCTGATGAGCAGCTATCTACCGGCTTGTTATATAGCTGTCTATATAGTTACCTTCTATCCCAAGTACTCTGAATAATCATTCCTCTAAGCCAGCATTTCAGTTTTTTTTTTCCTGTTGGGGGGGAGCGGGGAGGCAGGCCTGGCTGCGCTCAGTGTCACCGGTTTGTTACATATCTGCCTCTATATAGTTAATTTATTATCCCAAATTTACTATCCCAAGTGGGGGCTGGAACGATAGAACAGCGGATAGGGCTTTTGGCTTGCACAGGGCAGACCTGAGTACGGTTCCTCTGCCCCTCTCAGAGAGCCCAGTAAGCTAGTGATGTATTTGATATGCCAAAAGCAGTAAAAAGAAGTCTCACAATTTGTTGTGAGACATTACTGGTGCCCGCTTGAGCAAATCGATGAACAATGGGAGGACAGTGCTACAGTGCTATCCCAAGTACTCTGAATAGTTATTCCTTTAAACCAGTGTTCCTTTCCTTTTTTTTTTTTTTTTTTGCTGGAGGGGGTATATCTGCCTGTGCTCAGTCCTAGTGCTTATTCCTGGCCTCTGTACTCAAAGTACTCCTGGAGGGCACAGGGGGTCATATGGCGTGCTGGAGATCAAACCAGGCTGGCCGTGTGCAAGGCAAGTACCTCTGATGTACTAAATGGGTGTTTATAAACCTTTTTCAGACTGCCCCCACTGCACCCCCCAATTGGTACCCTAGTTTCCTGTTGTGCCTCCCCTATACTTGGACCAGCTTGGGGGCCCACTACGGGCCTTGAGAAATGCTGCTCTAAGTTGTATAATTAGCTCTGCAGGTTGAAGTTATGGGCTTAAACCTTTGAAACCTTGAACAGTGTTACTGCTTTCAGCATCAGTAAATTTCCTGGACAAGTCAGTGTTGGATCTCGAACCATTAATCTTTGCATAATTTCATTTTAGGGTTTTCTGAATTTCAGTGGAGGTCAAAGATAAGATAGTTTGGGTTTGTTTGGGTGTTTTGGGGGGGATACTTCGTGGGGGTCCCACATCTGGTGGTGCTTGGGGATTACTCCTAGTGGGTCATGAGCCAGTGTCAGCAAGTACCTTACCTGCTGTACAATCTCCAGCCTTCTAAATGATCTTTATCAACTCAGTGTAAAGCCTTGTAGGCTCTAGCACACAATGAATGCAAACAAGGTCTCCAGAGACTTGTTTTCTTTTTGTAGGTTTCTTTATCCTTTTGAATGGGGAAAGAGACATTCTTACAAATACTTTTTTTAAAATGTGTACACAGTAATTTACAGCTGCAATTTTAGTGCTTGGTTCTTTTAACCACGTTTTCTGCCACCTTTCATTTAGATCCTTGTCAGAGCTGCCATGGAAGATTTCAGTCTTCAGAGTTCTTACTTGAGATCTTTACTCTGGAAAGGAAAAAAATTACTAGCTTGATGGGACTAAAATCCAAGGAAGACTGAAATCTAAGGCACCTGCTTGTAAAACCACTTAAACTTGACTTTCTTAGGACTTTATTTTCAAGAGGTATACATAGTATCAGCACAAGAAACAATGATCATTTTCCTAATGGGACTTCTTTTCTATTGTTTCTTTTTGGTTTTGTGGTTTGTGGGCCACACCCTACCTGGGGTGCTCAAGGCTTACTCCTGACTGCACTCAAAGATCACTCCTGGTGAGGCTTGAGGGACCATTTGTGGTGCCTGGAATCAAACCTGAGTGTGGGTATGTACAAGACAATCACCTTTCCTGTACAATCGCTCCAGCCTCTCTGATTGTTTTTTTTTTTAAGAGATAGCATGTCTTTATAATATTGTTTATTTGCAGACCACACTCTGATGCTCAGGCTTACTCCCAGCGTTGCACTTAGGGATCACTCCTAGCAGAGTTTGGGGGATCATAAGGGTGCTGGGGACCAAATCTGGGTTGACATGTGCAAAGCAAGCACCTTACCCACTCATATCTCTCCAGCTCCCTATAATTTATTGTAAAGCAATCAGGCCTAGAAATTATTCAAAGGGCTGAATGAAGCACGTGCTTCAGAAGTTCTGGATTCAATCTCAGACTCCATGTGATCTCCTGAGCACCTCCAGGAGTGACATAAATGTCCCCTACCCCCACTCCACACAGACACAGGAAAGATTGCATCATGCCTAGACATATGAAATGTTATCTCCCAGTGGAAAACTAAATACAAATAACTGATCAAGATGATGCAACTAGTCATTGTCATTAGTGGTTTGTATTTTAATAGAAAGATAATTTTGGTAACATTGCACAAGATTTTTTTCCCTGGGTTTCACCAAAAGTGAAGGGTTCTCTTGATTTTATAAAATGGTAGACCTTAGAATATGAATTCATTTTGCTTTAAGTAACTAAAGTTATCTGTAGTAAAAGTTGACATGAAACAAGTTCTATGTTCTCTTTCTCAGTCTGGAAATGATCCCAGACAAGGTATGCTGGTGTGACTCTTTATTCAAGAGTAAAAGGCAAGTCTTCTTGTGGTAACTAAATTTATAACAATTTGGGGTGCTGGACTGAATAGTATAGGAGGTTAAGGTACTTGCTTTGCATGTTGCTTAGCCAATTTGATCCCTGACACTGCATATCATTCCTCAAATCAGAGGGTTGGGGCCGGAGTGGTAGCACAGCAGGTAGGGCGTTTGCCTTGCACGTGGCTGACCCGGAATCTATTCCAAGCATCCCATATGGTCCCCTGAGCACTGACAGGAGTAATTCCTGAGTGTCTGAGCCAGGAGTAACCCCTGTGCATCGCCAGGTGTGACCCAAAAAGCAAAAAAAAAAAAAATTAGGGGGTCACTTCTGAGCACAGACCCAAGAATAGCTCCGGTTGTGACCCCAGCAACCCTTCCCTAAACAAAAATAACGAGGTTCTATGTAAACTTTGATAATAAGTATGTGAAAATTGAAAATGGAGTTTAGTGTTTTTCTGGACTGGTAAAGTCAGATGCCTCCAGAGAATGGAAATTTTGTTTTGTTTTGTTTTGGGGCCACTCCCATGGTGCTCAGGACTTACTCTTGACTGTGGCAGGTCTCCAGGGACCATATGGGGATCAAACCAGGGTTGGAAGTGTGCAAGGCAAGCTCTCTGCCTGCAGTACTATCCCTCTGGCCACAACAATGAACCTTTTTAAGTGCTTACTCACTCTGTCTTTGCCACTGTAAGCACTTTATGTACATTAATTTAGTCACAATGTTCGTATACAGAAGGTTATCTTACAGATGAGGAAACTGAGGCTCCCAAGTAAAGAAATTTGCCTCAATTCACACAGCTAATAATGATAAGGCTAGTGATAGCAAAGATATAGACCAGGCAGACTGGTTCAGCATTCTTGGCCTTTAATTAACATGTTGAATGAGGAGAGTGTTGGAAGGTTATGTATACAACCTGAACCCACTGATCTCATTCCGCTTCCTTCCCTCAGCTTTAGTTTAATATAGCTTTAGGCTGACACTCATTGGGTGTTTTGTTTTGTGTGTTTGTTTTGTATCACATGGGGGTAGGGGAAGCCAGGGCAGTCAAGTGGTACTGGAGTTTGAACCAGGCTTCCTGCATTTCTAGCTGATTTCTGGTCGCCCATGGTCTTGTTTTTTGGCTTCACCTAGGGATTCTCAGGTCTCACTCCTGACTCTGTGCTCAAAGATCATTCCTTGTGGTCGTCTGGGGACCATATGTGCCTGAGATCGAATCGAGGTTTATGGCATGGAGGGCAAGCCGCCCTACCTGCTTTC